TCTCACCGATACTGGCAGGTTTTTCAGGATGATTTCTTTGACTGGACAAGGAGAAGACCCTATTTCAACCTTTTCTGGAAATACGTAATTATTTAGTGTAATCCCAGGCAGCAGCTATGTAAATCACAGAAAGGAAACTACAGAATCTTAAATTGTCATGAAAATTCCTACTATTTTATGATAATCAAGAAAAATGAATTGGCCAATATATAAAAAAAAAAATTTTTTGGAAACAGTTAACATTTAGCAAGGAAAACAAAGAATACTTAAGTTTCATAAAGGAAAGGTGATACAATGGAAAGAACTGAACTTGCTACTTTTTAGCATGTAGAAGAAAAAAACCCAAAAGATACAATAGCAACAAAAGCAATAAATATTTAGGAATAAATTTAACTAGAAATGTCAAAAGCCTATACAATAAAACTCCTGAAGCACACAAAAGTAAACTTGAATAAACAGAAAGATATCTCTTATTCGTAGATAAGCCAACATCAGAAATAGGTCAGTTCTCCCAAAGTTAATTTATAAGCTAATGAAATTTCAATTAAAAATATCAAACAGCTTTTTTATGGAATTATTCAAACTGATGCCAAAGTTCATATGGAAAAACAAACACTCAAGAATAGCTAGAAAACAGGGGGCACCTGGGTGGCTCAGAGGGTTAAGCCTCTGCCTTCAGCTCAGGTCATGATCTCAGGGTCCTGGGATCGAGCCCCACATCAGGTTCTCTGCTCAGCAGGGAGCCTGCTTCCCTTCTCTCTCTGCCTACCTCTCTGCCTACTCGTGATCTCTTTGTCAAGTAAATAAATAAAATCTTAAAAAAAAAAAAAAAAGAATAGCTAGAAAACACAAAAAAGGAAAGCTACAAGAATAGATTAGCTCTAGGAGACATTAAAACATACTTTAAAGCTCTATAATTAAAACAGTGTGGTAATGACAGAGGGATATGCAAACGACCTAGTCTGGAACAGAATGGACTTAGTAGAACAGAATGGCAAGTCCAGAAATAGACCAAGTACGTGTGGAAATTCAGCATATGATTGCAATACCAAGGCAAGTCACTGGAGCAAAGACACACCTTTAAAAAACTGTACTGAGCAACTAAATGGTTAATGAGTTAGAAAAGATAAAATTGTATCAGTAACTCATACCATACATAAGAATAAACTCCATAAATAAAGAATAAACTTCAAATGGATCAGAGAATTTAAATGTGAGAAGTGAAATCTTGCAACTACCAGGAAAAAAAAAAAAGTGAATTTCTCTATAACCTGAGGAAAAGGTTTTTCATTAGGAAAGTCTCTTTACTTACAACTTAAAACCCAGATATGATAAAAGAACAATAAATTTGACTCATGGGGTAGTGCGAGACTTTCATATGGTAGAAAAATAGAATATACAAAGTAAAAGTACTACATATATCACAAATAAAGATTAATCCATTATAAAAAATTGTTCAGAGCTAAGAGGAAAAGGCCAAAACCTCATTTTGAAAATGGGCAAAAAGAAAAAAGAAAGAAAAAAGAAAAAAAAAGAAAATGGGCAAAAAGAGAAAAAAGAAAAAAAGGACAATTCATATACACTCACAAAACCAAAATGGACCTTGAACAGGTGAAAAGACGTTAAACTACATTCATAATAATAAGATTATAAATTAAAACTACAATGAGCTACCATTTCTCAGCTATCAGATGAACAAAAAGATGAAAAAGTTAAGCAATGCATTTTGTCCACACTGGGGGGCAACGGGCACTCATATTACTGAAGAGAACCCAGTCTGGTTCAACCCTTATGGAGGAGAATTTAGCAATATCAAACAAAACTACATAAGTGTTTATGTTTTGACTCAGCAGTCTACTTCTCTTAATTTACCCTGAACACACACATCTGATTAAAACAATGAATATGAAAAGGTTTTTCATAGCAGCACCCCTAGAGATTATAAAATATTGAAAAGAAATTAAATATCCATACATTGAAGAATGGTTGAATGAACTCTGGAATACTATGCAGCTGGATGAGAAATATCTCTGAATTCATATGCAGAATATAAATTCTCTTATATATGTGCAGAATATAAATTTCTCTTATAGGTAAGAGAAAAGGCAAAGTACAAAAGAGTATCCCTAATATATTATCTTTTATGTTAAAAAGAAGCCAAGAAAATTACATTTAATTGCTCATTTGTGTTAAAGAAACCCAGAAAAAATGAACCAAAACACAATGGAAACATGACAGAGGGAACAGAGAGTACATGACATTTGTATATTTCTGGTCTTTGCAACCATATTAGTGTGTTTCACAGCCTGAAAATATAAATAATTTTTTTCTTTTTTTCTTAAAGAGAGAGATCACAAGTAGGCAGAGAAGCAGGTAGAGATAGAGGAGGAAGCAGGCTCCCCGCTGAGCTGAGAGCCCGATGTGGGGCTCGATCCCAAGACCCTGAGACCATGACCTGAGCTGAAGGCAGAGGCTTAACCCACTGAACCACCTAGGAGCCCAAATATTTTTTTTTTTTTTAAAGTCAAGTAAGAACAGCGATAACATTCTAAGAAGGGATACATACAGAAACAAATGAACCAAACTGTATTTCAAAGGAATTACTTAATCACACCAAAGGAAAAAAATTTAAAACAGTATCTGTTTAGAATCTGTTAGTGATGATAAAATATTTAGTAAAGCACTCTGCAGTCAGAACATGTGGATTCAAATACTTGCCCAACTTTCCACTTGCTAACTGTGTGACCCTGGGCAAGTTAATTTATAATCTCTGTGCGTAGGTTTTCTTATCCAAATAATAACAGTACCAATCTCACAAAACTAATGATAAGGCTCAAAATCTTAGTAAATCTTAGTAAATCACTGAGCATGTAACAAGAATTTGGTAAGCATTTGCTATTACCAACTACTAATAAAAACAAAACAAAACAAAAACCCAAAACACTGAATGTGTGGGCACCCAGGATACACATAATAAATATGGAGTCTTTGGGGGCGCCTGGGTGGCTCAGTCATTAAGCATCTGCCTTTGGCTCAGGTCATGATCCCAGGGTCCTGGGATGGAGCCCCACACGGGCCTCCCTGCTCAGCGGGAAGCCTGCTTCCCCTCTCTCACTCCCCCTGCTTCTGTTCCCTCTCTCACTGTGTCTCTGTCAAATAAATGAATAAAATCTTTAAAAAAAAAAATGGAGTTTCTGTCATGAAAAAATTTGGAATTTCACTAGTTTATGGACAATAAGTGTTCAAGGAATTTAGAACAATATCCACAGGCTCGCTGGAATAATGTGAGAAATTTCATAAAGGAGCAATCTGACAAGGGTCTTTATACTTGCACAAGATTTAGATTAGCAAGAGAATGGGAGTGATAAAGGAAGCTAAATAAAAGCAAAGAGGCCATAAAGACCAATATATTTCAAGGATAGTAGCACAGAAGATTTGGAAAGCTAACTATCTAGAGATAAGGCAAGACTATAGAAGCTCCTGAACATACTACTGAACTGAGCAGGCTTTTTTTCCTAGACTATGAGGAACCATAGAAGAATTGTGTGTAGGGAAAACAATATGACCCACTGAACTGTGGGGTTATTCTAGTGCTGGTAAGTGGAAGATCAGATGTAGAATCTTACTAGTGGGTAAGCCAAATAATGGCAAGGGACTGACTAGAATAGTAGTGATGAAAAAGGGAAAGAAGTCACCGATCATCAAGGCAGTGAGGAGGAAAAAAAAAATCAATGAAGTTTGATAACAACTAGATATGAGGTATGAGAGAATAGAAAAGTCTGAATGACAAGGTGAATGACAAAATCATTAGAAGGAAAAAGCAAAAAGGAATGGGAACCAACAGAAAGGATTTCCACTGGGTCTTAAACTCAGGTCAGTCTTAGGTAAGAAGCCTTGCCAATTTGAGATAACAAATCAAGATCCATAGGCATTTGGCAACAGGGGCCTAGTACTTACAAGAGTAAGAACTGAAGACAAAAGGTTTAAGAATTTTTTTTCTTAAAAAAAAACCTCTTTAGAATATTTGAGACATTCTAGAGCTAGTAGACTGTGGCTTTTCAGAGGAGTGATCATCTCATTTATTTTTATAGCCCTTCAAATTTGGCATAGTTGCTAGCACAGGTGTGACTATCAGTAAAAGACTGCATAAGTGGGAGAAGTAGAGAACATAACAGAGCTGTGTGGCTTGTTAACAGCAGAGTCTACTTTAGAGCCCAGGTCTCCTGACTCTCAACTATAGACCATAAAATAAGAGATGACGACCTCTGAACATTCATGCATAGGATCCCCTAGAGAGCTAGTGTAAGAAATGAAAATAAACTAAACTGTGGGGATGGCTGGTTTAGGTGGATGAAAGACATAAGAAAATAGCAAAGAAAATTCAGAGTTATTTAGGAAAAAATAAATGATAGTGTCGCATCACAGATTCAAAGGAAATTTTAAGAAAGGAAGTATAGTCAACTGTTCAAATGAGCAAACACCACAGGTAGTGTTTCTCTGTTCTCCTACACCAGTGAGATCCAGGTCACTTTTTAAAAGTATAAATTGAGAAATTTTCATCTACTTTCACAACATTTTAACATCACATATCACTCAGCAGTGGTTCAAAACTATTGCGCTCTTTAGTAAATTTTATCTCTATAAAATAGAAAAAAGGAAATAAAGTGTCAGGGCACCTAGGTAGCTCAGTCATTAAGCATCTGCCTTTAGCTCAGGTCATGATCCCAGGGTTCTGGGATCAAGCCCCGTGTCGGGCTTTCTGCTCAGCGGAAAACCTGCTTCTCCCGCCCCCACTCCCCCTGTGTTCTGTGTTCTCTCTCTCTCTCTCTCTCTAATAAAAAAAAAAAAAAAAAAAATAAATCTTAAAAAAAAAAAAAAAAAGAAAAGGACAGAAAGTCTCTATAATAAATTTGCACTTGAAGCAAAAAGAAATGAATGAAAAAAATATTCATTTACATCTATTGATAGCAACAAAATACATGAAATACCAAAGGTCTTACCTTAAATCTCTTGTCCTGCAATACTTTCTTGATGGCAACCAGTTCTCCTGAATCACAAAGTTTGGCTTGATATACCACACCAAATGACCCATTCCCAATCACTTTAGTGTCTGTATAGCTGACTTCTTGTGGCCTGTCTGGACCCTGCCCAGGAGTTGCCACCACTGTGGTCACCTTGCTGCCATCCTTGTCTCCTAAAAGAAGGAAGAGATAGAGAAATAAGAATTGTAAAGAATTAATTCATAAAAAGCAGAGAAAATTGTTTAACTATACAAAGTAAACTACATTCTTTACTACAAATTATTTTTATTTTTTTATTTTTATTTTTCTTTAAAGATTTTTTTTGTTTATTTGAGAGAGAGAGAGAATGAAAGGGAGCATGAGAGGGGAGAGGTCAGAGGGAGAAGCAGACTCCCCGCTGAGCAGGGAGCCCGATGTGGGACTCCATCCTGGGACTCCAGGATCATGACCTGAGCTGAAGGAAGTTGCTTAACCAACCGAGCCACCCAGGTGCCCCTACTACAAATTATTTTTAAATGCTCATCTTAGTTTATCATATAGAATTATTTCAACTATTTGTTTCAAATATAAGTAATTTTTTTAACCACTATTTATTCAGTCATTGTGTAGATGAGGCATCATGCTTAGCTTATATATATGACTCCATTTAATAAAAACAACAACCCCATGAGGTATACAGTACTGTTCCCATATAAAATTAATGGCAAGAATGTTAAATTTGGCCAAAGTCAAAAGTCAAATGGTGGATCCACTGGGGTTTGAATCTTTATCCATCCAACTCTACAGGCCCTAGTTCTTTTCTCAAGGCTTCCTTATTTTACTCAAAAATAAAATAGGTGCAGCTAAAAATATCTAAATATGTTGACTATATTCAGACCATTCTGCCTTTAGGAAGGGAAGGCTTTGAGTTTTTGCTTCTCTGCTATCTTATTTCTTTTTAAGAAAATAGAATACTTCTCAGAGAAAGGTTAGATGGGGAAAAGAAATATAGAGTGTTAATTTGGGGTAAGAGATGTAAAAGATAAAAGAAAAACCAAATCCATTCTGAATTAAGTCTCATTCGTAAGTAGTTCACTGACGTTCTGTGGTCTCTGCCCACTCGATGGCTCTTGCCTTACCTTTTGCACTTTTCCTCCCCTCCCAGTAATAATCCAGAGTCTCTTCAATTCAAGCTCAAGAGCCACCTCCTATTTGACTAGGCAGAGTTCACATAATCTTATTCTCCAAACTCTTAAACTATTCTAAACCACACTATGCTACCTAGAACCTGATTCTAAAAAGCTTTAAATTGTTCTTTCAGTGATTTCAGAATACATACAGATTCTAGTGAGTACAATCATTGTGAAGTAGCAATTATAATCTGTACTTTTTCTCTCTTCCCTGAGAAATCTAAACCCTATTCTCAGTATATGTAAGTCCTTAGACTCAGACTAAACTGCACTTTTTCCTTTTTTCCTCTTCTACTCTTCCATTATATCATTTTTATGATGCTATCTGAATTCATCTAACCTAATAAAAGAAAAAATAATGCAGTTTCTAACTCCAGATACCAAGCCTAGATTATGAAGTACTCATTTGTAACTCACATATAAAAGAATGAAAAAATAATCATCTCTTTTTCCAATGGTTTCAATTTTTCCCCAATATAAAATTACCAGGTAAATGAAAATCCAAATGTTACTGGCATATTTACCCAAAGTGTATAACTATTTTAGTTCACAGAGGTGCTAATATACATGAAAACCAATATGTAATATCTGTGACTGATTAATTCTCCTGCTTATAAGGCAGCATTCATGAAAGACACAAAAGCAATGAAAGATTCCTACTTTAAGACCTAGAGAATTACAGGCAATCTATATTATATATAATAGTATGACTGACTACCTTAAATATGTATGTTTTTGGTTCCAAGGTATAACACCCAACAGGTATGACAGCACAAATCCAACATCACTTGAAGAAAGATAACTCAAATCTTGTCAACACCATCACTGTTATTCATAACAGTATTATATGTACTTGAAATGCATGCAAATCCCAGCAGAAGCCCATGCATATACAGCAGTTCTCAATGCTTTCAAATGATCTCTTCACATTTCACTTCCTAGTAAGATAAATCTCAAATATTTTATAAGACCTAATTAAATCAAATCTCAGTTCTAAATCATCATGCTCAACTCCCCAAATATTCCATATTACCGTCACTTTTGAGCATGTTAATGTTAATTACAACTTTTCAGGTTGACTATAAACTTTACTACACATTATTTTCTTCTTCATTTGTAAAATAAACCTATCTCTACTTGTATTACACAACATTCCTCTGAAGACAGAATCATAGTCTTCTAAACTTAAACTCTAAATGAAGAGCTCTAAAAATGGTTGAATTCAGAAAGAATAAAATCCAAGGTATTGAATATATTTTCTTATACAACTGCCCAAAGAAAATAAAAAACAAAATTGATTTCAACAGCCTGACTCTTCCCTAGATCATCCAAGTCAAAAGCATATCACCAAAAAGTATATATTTCAAGAACTATTAATAATTCCACTGAACAAGTTACTTGTAAAATCTCACAGGTTTAATTTAAAAAAACAGAGCATTATTTTTTTTTAATTAAAATAACAGATTTTAAGAATGGCTGCTGCATTTCACAATTTTAATTGAAAACAAAAGCTGAGGTGTAAACAAAAACTACGCTTTTCTACTGTATGACCATATTTCAATAAAGAAAATAGTAGCCACAGCTTTGAACTTGCTTCTATAAAAGAACTTATTATAAGCATATATAAACATTCCCCACTTGCCTCCTCAGACTGTATTTCTAAAGAAACCATAGCATTTCAGAAATAGGACTTCGAGAACCAGCTATGAAAGGTATCCATCAGAACCCTAAGATTTAAAATCTCTTTAACCTCAACTACTAAGTCTAGGGAACATCTAAACATCTAACTGTACTTTTTCTCATATCTAAATTATAATGCATAAATGAAATCATTCTGCAAAAGTATTAAAGTGGGGTAGAAAGATAAATAGGTCCTACAGATGCTATCACTAGAAGGCACTCTTAAGACTTCTTAATTTAAAATTGCAAGTGAATTTGGCCAGGATCAATCCTTTCACACTCTTATACACCTAGTAAAAAAGGTAGACTTAACCATCTTAGCAGAAATTAAAGACTTATTCTATTCTCTTTTGAGCAGTTCAGAAATTGCTGAGAACTCTTACAGGCTATATTTTCTTCCAATACAAAATCCCTAAGTATACTAGGAACAATGGTTCTCAGGCTTTCTACCTCAAGCATTCTCGAATTTTTATTCAGAAATTATCAAGCTCTTCAGACTGCTTCATCATAGAACTGAAATAGAAGAGCTGTAAAGAATGGCAAGATAACACTGGGGATGACTTGGCATGAGCATCAGCACATGGGACAGTCAGCAGCTAGTGTGCCAAGGAAAAGAATGTCACTATTTGGCATTGTAGTTTGCCGGCTTAGCAATAAAACAGCTATATAAAATTTCACTGTATAAAGAACCATCCAATTCATTGTTTCATCTACTCTCATAAAAAAATGCAGGAAGACATTACATTACTATGCAAATGAGGAAGGTAAAATGAAGAGTTTAACTTGTCCAATATCATAAAGCTTTAAGTAAAAAGAACTCCTCACTTGCCTCATACTGCCTCTGCTATATTTTACAACCTTCCTAATACAGCTGAAAAACTTAACTTCATGTATTATTGCCCCCCCCAAGAAGCATGTATTTCTGAAAATATAATGTGAAAAGATCAGCTCTGAAGCAGTAAGAAATAAGACAATAAATGATAATCTATTACAGTTTCCAGGCCTCAACCATTCACTTACTAATAGCTAAAGAGCTATTTCCAAAAATACTTTGGTAACCTTAGATTTTGGAACTTATCCCAAAGCAAAAGCATATGGAAAACAAAAATGTAAAATAATCGATTTTGTGTTGTTCAAACAATTTAACATCTGCTACTAGAAACTGTATAATTTTGTATCTTAGCAACAAAGCATTATAAGCAACGGGCCAAAATCCTCATGAAAAGCTGGAAATCAACAAATCTCATTAAAAAAACAAAAATAACAACAACAACAAACAATACTAAATTTCCCAGAACACATGATACAGTGGGTCTCATACCAATTACAACAAAACTGTCTCCTTAAAAAAACACCACTGTCTTACAGTACAACATAACAATGGGAACAGCTCAGCTCCAGGAGGCCCTGTCTCCTACCAGAGGACTCCTGGGATTCTCTATTACAATTAAAATTTACTCAGGGAATATAAATTTCCTATTATAGTTAGAAAATAATATTAAATCTTAAATATATAAACAATAGACTCCTTATAAGCAACAGAAAGATGACATGAACAACAGAATAACCACTTTCTACTGAAGGTGTTAAATACAGAATATAATTTTTTAAAAGCCTTAGGCATATCCTCAAATAATATGCGTGAGCTAGTACCCAATCTCTCAAACACGGGTTTGTACCTTGTAAGCAGCACCTTGTGATTACATTTTTTAAGTCTTCTGAAGTCACTCCTCAAACCAATTCACCTTGAGAAGAACAAATGTTACAGTGTAACACTGACCACACCCAAAGTGTGGCATGAGCATCCCAAAACCCAAAGGCCACTTCAAGCATGTTTAAATACTTAGAAGGTATCTGACACTGACATTCTAATTTTATATGAATGATAAATCTCACTCATACTTTAGCCATTTGATTTGGGTTTCTTAAGATTTAGAGTTAAGGAAAAGCAACAACTACAACAGTTTTTAACTATGAGGCTTATAGAGATGTTAATAAGCCACACTAAGGACACAAACTGAACAAAGTCAATAATAACTGTCTAAATATCCTCCTTTTAACTCAAGAATAACCTCTCCACTTAGAAATAATAGAGAGTTAAAAGTCTGTAACAAAAGCACAGAGAAACCAGCAAGCCACTGTGACTATAAGGAAGATATGAAGTATTGTTAAGAAGTTTGTTGTTGTTGGGGCGCCTGGGTGGCTCAGTGGGTTAAATCCTCTGCCTTCAGCTCAGGTAGTGATCCCAGGGTCTCTGCTCAGCAGGGAGCATGCTTCCTCCTCTCTCTGTCTGCCTCTCTGCAATAAGCAGAATCATATAAATA